TGGTGGGACGGGGATTCGAACCTGCGACCCTTAGGTTTCGATTCGAGCGCCTTATCCTCCTGGCCATTCCGGGCCTTATCCAGGAGAGGAATTTTTGTTTCTAAATTTGATATTGAAGAAAATATGCATGTTAATTATTGTTCTCAGTAAAGTTTTATTATTACTGACAAATTAATTATAAGAATATAACTATGCATGTTTCTCTATGTTATCTAAACATTTAATACCATGAAATTCATGTTTAGCCATAGTCATTACAAAATCATAACTCATTTACAAATCTTTAACTTAAAAGGTGCTGTTAATGAATTGCATCTGTCTAAGAAGTATCAGACAACATTTCGAGATACAGTTCTTCATCAGGTCAAATAACTTAGATTGTTCAGACTATCAGGTAGGAATGTGGCTTTCGTGAGTTGAAAACAAATGTAAAGCAAAGTAGAATTAAGAGTTATGAGTATGTTTGCAGGAGAGTTCCAAACAGGATGTATTGTGATATCATCACAGCTGTGTGGACATGGTGTTTATGGTCTCATAACAGGACAGGAGTCTAAATTTCATTAAATCTAAGCTTGGATTGCAAGTGCAAGCAGGTTGATGAGTTTTGATGTAGAAAACGTTTTGAGTTTTTAAAGTTTTTCGCAGTGTCTAATATTTGTAGTTAATTCTAGTTGATGATGTAATCAGTGTTGTAGTTGTGTTCAGATAAGGCAGACTTTTCCAGATATAATCTAGTGGCAATTTAGTCTTTCACCCATTTTTAGTATTTTATGTGATTCTCCTATGTAAGCTTTCCCACAAGAAGCTTTCTATGTCAAGACCAATCAACCTGTTCTCACCAATGATCAAGGCTTAGATTTTAAAGACATTCAAACCCCTTTCCTGTAATAAGATTATAAATACAAGGTCCACACAAATTGAACTCTAGGTTTCTATTGATGATGTCACAATACTTCTCAACTGGAGCTTTACTTTTTGTTTCCAACTCGCAAAGTTTCCAACTACAGCCACATTCCTACCTGATAAAGTCTGAACAGTCTAACAAATCTGACCTGATGAAGATTTGCACTAGCAGCTTGAAATATCACTTTCAAAATTATTTAGTTATTCAAAATAAGTATTTTCTGAAAATTTCAATTAAAAAAAGTAATGTAACATCACGAAATATAGTGTCTACAGAAAGAAAAATGTACCATCTGATTTTATTACTTTCTTGTGATATCTTTCATATTTAATACTTACTTGAAGTCATGTGCATAAAAACATTACTTTTGAAGTTTTGAGAGAAGTGGCATGGTTTTTTTTAGTTGTTTTAAAGCTTTTCCATTTTTTTCTTCTATAAATGGAAAAAAATAAGTATTTCCAAGTTTGCTTATATGGAGTAAAATTGTTCATTAATAAATAAACCCTGGAGAAGTTGGAACTTATTACTCTAAGCAATTTAGGGTAGACCTTTTTTGTTTTGACTTACAACACTCTCACCACCTGATTTATCTTGTGTCTTGCATTATGTCTGCACATTCTAAATAATTCTGGAAGGTTATAGATTATTCTGGAATGTTCTACCATATTATTATGGAATATTCTAGTACATTCCAGAGTATTCCACATTATTCAGAATGTTCAAGAACATTCTATATACAAGTAATCCATTCTGTCACTTTCTACTTTTGGAATATTCTGTATGACATGACAGTAGTTTCTAGAATTTCTGCGAGAGCATATGAACACTTAAGCAGATCCTTCTATGTCATTTCAACTGACAATGTTGTATGTGAAAGACTTATAATGTTTACTGAAAGACTGCCAAATTTCATGAAGATACACACAATATATTAAAAGTTAGTAGTATCAAATCTACAAAAGCTTTGAATGAATACAAAGAGTTCATGTGGTCGGTCAAATTGACCAAGCCTGTTTGAGAGTTAATTCTAGTGAAACCTTCACACAGTGTTATAAGATACAAGTTTGCGTATATATTTTACAGTATGATTATTTTCTTTACAGTGTAATTACCCATGCTTAAGTTAAAACATATTTTAACTGATACATTCTGTTTTCAAAGCATATGCAACAAGAATTTTGTTAAAAGTGGTTGAGAATGGACACACAGCTCAATAAAACAGTACCAAATAAAATATAAACTGTTCAAAGAAAAACTGACTGATGGATAATCTTTTGTAAATGATATTGTTATACTATATATCTTGTACTGAAAATTTTTTATTAAAAAAAATAAAAGAATACATCAATGTTTCATATGTTTTTTTACTCAGTTTCATCTCTCTCATTACTTCTTTTTTTAGCTACATTAATTAGAACTTGAATTAGTATATATATATTTGGAAATTTATAATTAGGAGAGAATCTATATAAAACTGAGCAATACACATGAAATCTACAGTTTATCTGCAAAAAGTTAATAAGGCATGATAGTGACTTTTAGATCTACCTGAAGTTTCTCTTCAAAACAAGTACTATAGCTGTAATTTTATTGCTAGATCTGCAGCTTCTCTACAAAACATAAGTTTTATAGCTATAAAAAGCTGAGTTACCCATCCTTTGTCCAGGTTATGAACTTAAAAAAATGTGTGGGGTGGATACTATGATAAATAACACATAAATCCTAACTTTCACACAAATCATTTATATCATAACATATTATTAGATCATTCATTATTACCTCACCAAAAGGTCAGTATAAGTTTAAGAACTCAATATGGTATACACTGTGCAATGGTCAGAACGACTTTGTAGGAAGAGGTAGCAGTAGGGATGATTTTCTCTTACCCACTTTCAACACCCAGCTCTTAATGTCCTTCCACAGTGCTTCATATGGTTAATTAACCCGATACTTGCTGGGGCCATTTTGTCTTATTATGAGGGCAAAATCATTTGTAAATTGAAAAAATGAGAGAGAGCTCATTACTTATTGGATTTCAGGTTTTATTTTTGTAAATAGTAGCGTAACATTCAATTATTTGTATAAAATTGTATTATTTAATGAAGTTTAAAGAGGAATTTAATGAAAAAATTCCTAAAATACGCTTTAGACTGTAAATAAGCGCCCTCTATAAAGAAATGTTTTTCAAAAATTTTTTAAATATATTTCCTTTCACTTCAGCATTGGTCCTGCCATTTATAATTGGTATCTAAACTTTTTTCTGGTCTGTCTTCTTTATAAAACTGCGTCTGGGCGTGTTAAACCTCAGTTGTAAAACTTTTAGCCAATCCTAGTCGAAAGTGTCAGTTTCAGTACCAATTATTCCAATTGCTGTATCTCCCATTTGAGAAATCATAGGATGATAAGGAAAGCACGTGATGAAACGTTGTTCTCTGTATTTTACAATATGAATGTGGGTGGTGCTAATTATAGTAACTGCCATTTTATGTAGAGGTTGTATTTAGTACTGGCCAATAGGGCTTTTCTATAAGCATTAGAAAAGTTGCTTCTGGAAAAAACTGCATGGGATGTACGTGACTTTTATTATTTTTATATAGTAGCTTAAGTCATGCTGCATCTTATATCTATTTATATTAATCATTATATTGAAAAATTAACTCAAAATAGATATATCTTTTTAGGAAAGAAGTTGATCCACAATTGTTAGGGTTAACAGCTATCGAGTGGCGAATGCAAGGTCTTTATATGAAGTAGGCTTAGGACCTTGAACTGTAAGAGTTTGTGATTTTTTTTATATACTTTTGTATTTAAATTCGCAGTATTAAGTTCAATAATTTTGTTCATAATAAAAATATGATTTAGTATTTATAAGAATAACTTTGCGTCATTTGTACGTACTAGTAGTACCACTTTAATAGTTTTAGGCTTATCGTAGGAATTTTATAATTTCTTTCTTACTATCATTACATAGTAAGACCCCCACTTCTGTTGTTTTATAATTAAAACATACTAACTGATATATAAATATTTTATTCTGATATTTTGCAAAGTGGATATGTTATCTTGACTTGTAACTTATGTATAAAATTTATGTAATTTATCTTTATTTAAATACATTGTTTATCCATACATTGATGCTCCTTTTGTCCCTAATTGATAAGTTATGCACTGAGAAGTACATGTACAGTTGTATGCACATCATATTTAGATGCAAAAATAAAAACGTAAATTTTTATTATTGTACGGTTCTTTTATATGTGTGTTAAAACTCAGTGTACAAGTGACAACAATAAAGCTCATATGTTAGTTGTGAGATAGACTAAACACATTCATGTCAATAATACCAGGAAAGCTATGACATTCTCATAGTTGGGGTGCTAATACATTGAAGGGCTTAACTTTC